AACTAGACTTATGTCTTATTGAATGCAACTATTCATTTATATCAAATGGCAGGCGTCTTGATGGTTATCATTAGCCCTTTAGTTGACTTCAAGCTTCACAGAGGGGAAGAAACATCAAATTGAAAAATTCGACAGGGGGGGGGGAACAGAAGAGTGTTTCAAAGATGTAAGAGACAGACACAAAAGTGGAAAAAGGTGAGGTGAATACTGTGGAGGTAGTCGAATATAACATACAATGGGGTGAGGGTAGTTTGAAGTCAAAGTCAACTGCCAGTTAATAGACTTTTTTGGCGTATGAATATACGTTGCCCAGGGTGCACCACGTGGAGGTAAGTCTATCGCACACCCCTTGAATGAAACTATTGACTTTAGGCTGCTATCTCCTCGTTAATATAGTGCTTTCTTTTATCACATTCGAAAATAACTGTAATGATTAATTTCTTACCTCAGCATCCCTCATGAAAGCTCAAATCTTTCCCCTTGGACTTCCAAAAGACGCAGATTCTATGCCTCTTCGGTGCCCATCTTCATTCTACCTCAAGAAGAAATCGAGATAGTTCCCATTGAATCTGACAATTCCTCGGGGAAACCAACAGCCGCAACTTTCTGGTGGCAATTGGCTCGCCTCTATACATCCATTGGGAGAAGTGAAGAAATTCTTGGATGGCTCTGTGATCGCTGGACGTCAGGATCAGATTCAACCCATCTGCTTGAACGCCTTGGCAAAGCGATATTAGCAAACGGGTTTGGCGATTTCGAGGGAGCTACTTCTCAGTTGAAGGAGGCAAGAATTTAATTTAGGTGAAATTATATCGTTTATTGTAGATCCTATGTACACCCACTGATGAAAATGAATCAGAGCCCAATGTATCAAGTAGAATGGACATTAAGGAAACAGATGTAAGTGATTTATGGACGCAAAACACTTATGGGCTGGACACGGAATTACGATTGGTTTGCAGAGAGGAGTTATTACATCGCCTAAACCGTTTGGGTTCTTGGGAAGACTTGGATGTCTATGCAATGGACTCCGCAAAGTACCTTGGGGCCACCCAAGAGGACGACTTTTCGCCTAGTTTGGATGAAGCTTCAACTTCAAATATACATACAGATGAACTGGGTGAGCTTATTTATATGTTCAAAGGTGATACGCAAGGGTACTGATCGGCTCTAATATATTTCTTTAGTTCGCAAAAGTGAATAATATGACCACTTACTGACATTTTGCCTTTATTGGGATTAATTTTGTTGGAAAGACGAGCAGTGGAAAGAGGCGGTCGAAATCGACACACTTTTTATGAATGTCACAAGGCACCGTTGTAGTTATAACTTGTACCATTTACCAAGACCCGATCTAGGACTCATTCTCTCACGCGTCTTCCAAATTGATTACAGTCTTGCTTGAAGTTGTTCTAGTCCGTTTGTTCTTCTAGTGCTAATAGAAGTAAATTGATTCATACAGACAATAACTCATTGTTTCTGACATGAAAGTTTTGAGTTCCTATTTCGCAATCATTGTGTTTATTTATTTCAAATGCCGGGCGTTTTGATAGCTATCATTTGCCCTTTAGTTGACTTCGGGCTTCACAGAGGGGAGGAACATTAAAGGGCCAAAAATTCGAGAGGGGTGACAGAAAAGTGATTCACAGATGTAAGAGTCAGACAGACACAGAGACAGAGAAAAGGTAAAATGAGTACTGCGGATGTGGTCGGATATGACAAGCAGTCGGGTCATGGTAGTTTGAAGTCAGAAGTTAACTGTCTATCGCAATCATTGTGTTTATGAATTTGTATTTTGTCAGGAATGGAATATTTTCAATTACCTAGGTGGATTTCTTTTTCTAATGTCATTGGAAGCTCGTGGAAGCCACTCTTAACTTGAAGTGAATGCTAAAAAACGCTTCTAAATTATATCAATTATAATGTGACCTCTTACTGAAATACGACAGTGTCAAATAGGGAAGACTGAATGGAAATATGTAATTATTCCCCTGCTCGCCTTTATAAAGCATAACGCTTCTATTTCGTCGAATTTTCGGAAGTTTCAGTTGTACTGTTGCTATCTATCCGCCAACTGGTTATCACACGTTCACTGTTGAATTGAACTAGAGAGGGAGAGAGAAGCCCAGGTCATAACAGGCGACATTCCATTGACCAAGGAACGACGGTGTAAGTGATACCAGTTTTCTTCATGCTGTTAATTTTGGAGGTTCTCAACTCCATCAGGCTGATCGCGCTTTTATATCCAAATGGCTATCAAGCCGTCAGCAATGCAATTAGAATGATGGACAACTTACAGGAAACCTACTCCTTGCATAAAGCCCAAATCCCCGCAATTAAGACTTGTTTCATCGGTACAATAGAGGCATAGAACAAGAAGTGAAGCCCTATAGCTGTTTTACATGTCGATTTGTTTCATTCTTTAGTAAGGAAAAAATTATGCGCAGGAATATTCGCATGGCTTTACTTAAATATCATCTTGTGTGTGCATTACCTCATGCCTCATTTATTTACGCTTTTTGTTTCAGCTTCATTGTGGAAGGAACCCTATCTCGCTGACAGTATTCTTCCACATGCCGTCCATTCACGTCTTCAAATATGCCTCTCGTCTGAGATCAGCAGGGTCCTTTCCAATCAACTGCAGGACACAACTGACAAATTATCCCAATTTGCACGCATAATGGACGCCTGCCTCCTTTCCACGTCACAAGACGCCGAGGTAGTGTGGATCGTTTCCGTGCTAATAATTCTTTCTTTTCGCATTCTAGCCTAGATACGCCTATGAATTGGCCATTCTAAGCATCCTTCGTAATGACTTGAGCAAAGCCCAATTTTATTGCAAAGAAGCCTTCAGTTATTTGGCACGGGTAGGGAGTACAGACTGAATTAATTTTTCTTCATTGTGTAGACTTGGTCATCGAAAGAAGACAAAGAGGAGTGCCTAGAAAGAGTTCAGCTTACCACAGAGCTGAAGGAATATCTAGAAGCATCAAGTAGTGGACCTGATTCAGATGCAGCTTTGAAAATTCTATTATCATGGCAAGAACGATGCTCTGCGATAAAATGCAGCGAGGAAGTAACAAATTCTAGGTATTTGCTTAATTTCAATACCATCTGATCTGCCGAATTTTGTAGACTCTTCTATTTATCAAGATTGGTAGAATCTGAAAATCTCTCTTTGGAGGAGCAATTCCTTCCAGCATATATCGATTTTCGTCTTAAGTGTTGTAATGATTTCTCCCGCAGTGGAAATGCTAAAAGAGCCTTAAATATCCTTCCACAACTGTATCAGTTAGTAGGAAAAACCGACAAAGGTGGTAAATATCGTCGATTAGCATGGTGTAGTGCTTTTTCACGAGCTTGGATGTCAGAGTACTTTAAAAATGTGGTCTACTGTTTCGAAGAGGAAAATTTGTCGATTAACCTTGAAAATGGTTTGGGACAATGCTTATCTTCACTGTGTAAGCAACCCTTAACACCTTTTAGATTTGAGAAGTTGGAAAATCAGATAATAAAGGTTAATCTTTCTGTGTTTATTCCTTTCAGCTCAGTGCATTGATGTTTATGACCGTCTGAAAGAACCCTCTTCAGTTAAAAGCCTTGATCTCGGTATTGTCTTATTTTCTCACGCCATCTCCATTGCTCAAGTTCTTTCATCATTTCACGACCTCTCGTTGTCTGGAAGATTAAGCGACGCTTCTTCCAAGCGTCTAATATCATCATTTCAGCCTACTTTAAAAGCCAGATTCGTCAAGATTCATGGATTACAGGAGTTAGATAAAGCCGAGGACTTTATTCAAGCCAGTGCATTTGCTTTCTTCAAGCGATGTGTCGATTTGGCGATGGGTGTTCCGTGGGCAGAAGATGAGGAGTGGAGAGTGCCGGTTTCAGCGGAAAATTTACTTTGCAGACGAAATCTTATGGTTTATAAACCTGAGGAGGCTCTTTTAGAAGTGGCGAACTTCTGTAATAGCCGAATTGATGAAGGTAATTCACGTCGTCTTCACATTTCAAATTATCCCGTTTCGGTTTTCCTATATTTGGGATTCGCTTTTTTGAGTTAATCGGCATTCTTTGTTTGAAACAGCCCAGATTCAGTGGAGACAGTGAACAGAAAATATTCATAGTCCATACTTCTGTTTACCTCCTCTTTTTCAAGTTCTGATCTGCAGGAATTACTGTGTTCACTGTCCATAGTATCAGTAGGTATTTATTTATTTTTTATCAAATGATATTCATCATTAGCCCTTTAGTTGACTTCAGGCTTCACAGGGGGAGAGGAACATCAAATCGAAAAAAGTCGAGAGTGTGGGGAGGGGGGAGGGAACAGGAGAGTGTTTCAAAGATGTAAAAGAGACAGACACAAAGGTAGATGAAAGGTGAGGTGAGTACTGTGTGAAACAAAGGTGAGGTGAGTACTGTGGAAGTAGTCGAATATGACACAATGGGGTCATTATAGCTTGTATTCAGAAGTCAACTGCCGCCTGAGTATATGTTGCCCAGGTGCACCACGTGGAGGTAAGTCTATCGCACACCCCAGGAAACAATATTAAACCATTTCTTAGAAATATATTACACACTTCTGGCTTTAGAAATCGCTATTCAGGCTTCATACGCGGAAATGTTCAGTCGTTCCGTGTTGACTGCCATGAGATTGGGATCTGAAGGTGGACGAATTCGCTTTGGTCGAGTTCTTCAACTGGAAGTGGCGCGTTGTTCCACATCGCCTTCCACATATGATGCTAACCTGTTTCGTGATTTGGTAAGCTCCATTTCATTATTGTGCTGAATGCGCCTAATTATTTATTTATTTATATCAAATGGCAGGCGTTTTGCTAGTTATCATTAGTCCTTTAGTTGACTTCAGGCTTCATAGAGTGGAGGGAACATCAAAGTGAAAAAAAGTCGAGAGGGGGAGGGGAACAGAAAAGTGATTCAAGGATGTAAAAGAGATAGACAGACACAAAGGTAGAAAAAAGGTGAGGTGAGTACTGTGGAAGTAGTCGAGTATGGCATATAGTTTGGTGATGGTAGTTTGAAGTCAGAAGTCAACTGCCGGTTAATAGACTTTTTTGCCGTATGAGTAAACGTTGCCCAGGGTGTACCACGTGGAGGTAAGTCTATCGTCTAATTATAGAGTCTAGTAATCGATTCTTTCTTGGTCTTCTCCCTAGACGAAGGACCTTTCTCCCTGTCTGTTCTCTCAGTGGTTTGACAGACTTATGATGGCTCCACTTGAAGGAGGGCTTTGTCTCGTTAAAAATATTATCCGTCGGATTGCGGCGGAGTTTCCTCAAGGTCTGTCTCTTCCATTCCGAGTTCTGTTGACTTCATTCTGTGATTGGAAGTTTGTCGGGCAGTCTTCCTTTGAACACTTCATGGCGAAGTTAATGCAGGAGGGTAATGGTGATGCAGCTACTTTCTACTCCGAGTGAGTTAACTGTTTATATTTCCTTGCTATCATTTCAGTCATTGATTCATTTAAAAAAAAGGGAAATAATGACGGGTTCTTTTATTTAAAGCATTCACAACGTGTTCTCCAAGCTTGTCAATTTGAATAACTTCATTG